GGGGCGGGGGGGGGCTGAGCCCACCGGGGTGCCCACGCGTGTCCTGCGAGTCCCCCGGATCCCCGCGGGTGGGCGGGGGGTGCGGGGGGACAGGGCCCCTCTCCAGGGCCGGCTTTAGGGGGTCAGGGTGCTGCTCCCCCACCTCGGCTTGGCCCAAAACCCCCAAACCCTGCAAGGGGCTGGGAGAGGAGGGGCTGTCACTGCAAATTGCAATCCCCAAATTGCTGCCAGTTAACCTAAAGCTCTGGGCAGAAGCCCGGATCAGAGTTTGAATTGGAATATAAAAACATTTTAACTGCAAAACACAATATTTGAACCATTAAAAAAAACCAAAACAGACAAATAGGGAGTTTGTTGAAGTGACACAGCATGCTAAAACGGTCCGGTTTTGATGAAAAAAAAAAAATCCTTAAAAAAAAAAAAAGTCCTTGGGCCTGCTCTACCCAGACACCCAAGTCCTACTGAAAAATATTTTTTGACTTGCATAAGATTTTATAAATTCACATCTTACTAGAATTAATTATGCGTAACCAACCTCTGCTCCCTCCAACCTTTTCCTGCCCAAAAGGGTAAGCGCTGAGCATCGCCGCTGCCTCCTCCTCTTCCTCCTCCTCCTCCTCCTGCTCCAGGGCTACTCCCGAGGCCCCAGGTCCCAGCAACATTTGGGACGGGTGGTTCCAGTCAGGGTCAGGATCCAGGCTGGGAAACGCTGGTGAGGGTGGTGGGAAGAAGCCAAGCAGAAGCAAGGTTTGAACCAGACAAGATGGAAGAAAACCGGGTTAATTTTGTACCATTTGCCTGGTTTCCTGGCTGAATGCCCCTGAGCCAGCTCAGCACCCCGCTTTGGGCACCCACCCCTCACCCTGTCCCGGTGCCCTGCGACCCCCGCAGCCCAGGTGGGACGTGGAAGGTGCCTCAGGATCTCGTGTGTGAGCTGCGGCCCCCAGGGCCCCCAGCCCTGCCCATCGCTCAGAGGTACTGGTACTCCCAGCACCCCCCAGCACCCCCCAGCCCTCTGGGTGGCTGCTGTGGGTGTCCCAGGGAGGACCATCACCTCCCCACCCCCCTGCTCCCGGGTTTGCTCCCGGTTCCAGTGAAAGCAGCATCCCAGCATCACCCCGGGCCGGGAGCCGGGCTGCCAACAGGGGTACCGGGGAGCCCAGGCCCCCCCCCAACGCCCGCGGCAATCGGGGAGCGCGCGAGACATATGGGAAGTTCTGTGCAAACGGGGGTCTAAAGTTTAATCGGGTCTGAGGGCGGGCCTGGGCTCGGTGGCGATAAGGCAGCAGCACAATGTCCGATTGTTCTCGCTGCGCGGCGGGTCGGCCCCGCTTCCTCCGGGATGCGCAGGAACACGCACGTCGGATTAGGGCTGGAGAGAGTTCGGGTCCACCGAGGTCTCCAGCCAGACCCAGAGCTCTGCAAGCCCTTTGGATAAACTTTCCTTCCCAGCTCCACCCCCGCCCGGGGGATAGACTTTCCCTCCCAAGCTCCTCAAATGACTTTGGCCTTCCTCCCACTCCTGAGACCTTGATCTTCCTCCCAACCCCGGCAGCTCATCACGCAGCTGGCTCCGGCTCCTTCCACTTTGTTCCCCGTCAGCTGCGTGGCTCAGCTCCTGCCCACTGCGCCTCGCGCCAAAGCCCTGCGCTGCCCGGGACCCCCGTTAGCCCCGTGCCTCCCTGCCTCGGCGTCACGGGGACTTCTGCCCTTGGCTGAAGGGCACGAGCGGGCCCAGTCGCTGGGGGAGGTGGCAGGGGAGTGGCGGGGACATGCGGGGACTCGGCCAGGCACAGCACCTGCGCCCGCCCACCCGGGGCAATTAGAGTTTGCAGCAATTTGTCTTTATATTTGGCATCTTTGGTTTGGCTTGGAGAGCAGTTCGCAGCTCGGAGCAGGGTTGTAATGAGGAGTTAGGGCTAAGTCACGAGGCCCGTGAGGATAACAGCCGCGGCCGTTTTATTTCAGTCTCTTCCCTCTTGTTTCCGTGTGCTTCCAAGGATGCGCTCATACTAAGAGACCAAAACCAGAATTTCAAGAACCTTCTTAAGTATTCCTTTTCTCCTTTGACACCGAGTCAGAAATTTAAAAAAAAACCAGCAGAACTTGGCACTTTGGAAGGACCTTTCCCGCTCCTGTGCACTCCCAGCATTTCCTCCCCGCTGCAGCCGTGTCTGCTGTCATAGGAGAATTCCCGGGGTCATTTTGGAAGTGCCACTGTCCCCTCCCTGCAGGCATCAGCCTCCTTTCAGCCGGGGGCAGTTTTCATGGGTGCTGGATGTGGCCCCTAATTAGCGCAGGAACCCAATCAGAGCACAAACGCTTCCATCCATTGCTCAGCCCACCCGTATCTGCGTGAGCCAGTCTGGGGAAGGAGACCCCAAGAAGGACTTTTAAGAGACTGTGCGATCCTGAACACACGTTTCAACGGGAAATAAGCCTAGATTTAGGGTACTAATTAGTGAAAGAAAGTTGTCACTTTCCAACGAGGAAGCAATCACCGATTTTCATTGTAACGGTGCAGTAACTGCGAGCTGGGGACAGAGCC